TATGTATTGAAATACGTGTTTCTGTACATGCCTGTGTGTGTATGTATACATACATACATAAAAAAGACAGGGAATATACTTGTGTAAGAAAGAAAGACAACATTTGTAATTTGTTTTTTGTTTGGTTCTTTTTTTTTTCCATGGGAACACCAAAATGTATGACACCAGTTTTTTTTGCACTTCTGTTGACTATTTGGTCAAAGTCCTCAATGATCTTTGCAAATCATGAATTCAATGTCTCAGTACTGCCACCTTCACTTTACAGGCGTGGACCATAATATATAGAGAGGACATGGGACATACTCAAAGTTAAGAGCAGCATCAGATTCCTGTGCCAAAAACCGTTAAACTGCACTTTGTCTCCGTACTTTCTAGGTGAAGCTGAGCTGTTTTGCCTCCCTGACATAGCAGAACAGTTGCTTTTATCTCATTTTTATCTTTCAATATGTAATCCCTGAAGCATTTAATAAGTGGGGAAAACCTTTATTGGATAGACTAGAAGTGGAATAGCCAACTGGCCTACAGGACACATGGCTACTATGCTGGATGAATCTTCCCATCAGAAGGAAAAGATCATTATGTTAAGCAACAAACGTTTCTTTCCACAAACAAAAGTTTCAGGAGATGAACCAGAAGTATCTAAAGTACACAAACACACAAATGAGAAACTCGCACCATTCAAAGTACTGCAACTAACCACAAAATTTCAGACATTCACACCTCAAACCTTCAAACACAGTGACTGGCTTGTATCCATCTGCATTTGTGAAGTTAGAGAGCTCTGATTTTTCCAGCCCCTCCAAACAGGAGACTGTGAAATGACTTCTTTAATGTTAGAGAGCTTAGCGTGAATTTTTAACAAATTTGCCATTCAAAAGTAAAGAATGACTTTTTCTAAGCCATAGACTTGAGCTGGGAATGCGCCTGAAAACACACTAACGGGAGAATGGGTACTTAGCACTCCCTGAAAATGATGGTCCTTTCCAGTATCTCAAACTTGGCACTGCAAAATAGAGTGGCCAAAATGCTCAATATTTCCGAAAAGCTCAGGCAGCTTTGAGTTTTGAATAAGACAAAAGACCTATCCTGCCCCCAAATAAGGCCTGGTGCTGACCAACATCCTAGGAACTAACCAGTTGCCCCTTTCTCCTTCCTTCTTTTTTTCCCCCATAATGAATAAAAGCGCTGTATCAATTTCCAGTTCCTTATACATCTGAGATGCCCAGACCACGCACGTTAGGTCTAAACCCTATTTTCTCAACTGAAAATCTCAGAAATATATATAATACTATATACAACATAATTCATATATTGCTAAAATCAGGAAAGGGAACAGAAGCATCGTCCTAACTCAGACGAGGATCACAAAATAAAACAAACCTTGATCCTGAGATACAGTCAAGTGTGGGGAATTATCTGAGGGTGTCTTTAAAACTTCTGATTTTGGGGTGGCTGGGGACTGAGCAGAACATGGGTTAAAGGACCATCACAGAGCTCTGAGCAGCCAGTGGGAGAAAATTATGCAGATGCTAACTGCCCCTTCTCCTTCCTCAAAGCTGTTGCCAGCTGCTTCATGGGGCTGCTAGGGAAGCCTGGCACCCAGTGTCCTGGCTGTGGGCTCTGCTCCTGGGCTGGAGAACATCCAAGCAAAACGATGCAGGTAAAGCCCCAAAATTATGCCATCGCCCATTCTCTTTTTCATGCATGCTTTCATTTTCTAGCAGCAGCACCCATCTCCTAATGCACCTTAGCAGTTTAATCCAAAGGTTAGAGGTGTGGGAAGATGAGAGGAAGGAGCCACCCTGACTTGTTTTTCTCCTAAAAGTCTGTAACATTGGCATCCCTCAGGTTTTCTGATATTTTTACTTTTCTGTAGGTTTGGTATTGCTGGCACTGTGAATGTGACTGGTGACGAAGTGAAGAAGCTGGATGTATTATCCAACTCTCTGGTGATTAACATGCTCCAGTCCTCCTACAGCACCTGCGTCCTGGTCACGGAGGAGAACAAGGAAGCCATCATCACCCCAAAAGACAAGCGGGTCTGTGCAGCTCCTGCCTTCAGGGGGTTATCAGATCAGGCAGCAGCAGGTGGCACTCTTGTTTCAAGCATGAAACCTGGGCCTGGCCCCAAAAACAACCCTTCCCGGGGGAATTCAGAAAATTTGCAGCATTACTGTATTGTTTTGATTAATAACTGTGGTGGATGGCACAGTTTCAACAGCTGAAAGAGCTGTGGAGGGGAAAAATATTATTAAAGTTTGGGGGGGGGGGGGGGTGTGAATAATTATTTTGGAGCTTGTTAACACACCCCAGATCCCAGGTGTAAGTGTACTATTACATTCCCTGACCGCCAGTGTAACGGTTTTGGATTACATTAATATTTAGGCAAGACAAAATGAGATGAGAGGCTGGCAGAACCGGGTTTTACGTTACACGTCCAGAGGAAACACCTGACTGCTTCATCAGGCTTCCCCCAGGAGAGGATCCTATTGCAGCGAGATGCTGCTTGTGCTGATGTAACCTACCCTTTCCCCAAGATGTCTTCCCTCTGCCTTCTTACTGTCAAACCTAATATCACAGGCAAATCCTTCAGTCCAAAACAAAACATAACAAAACTTATTTACTCAGGGAAGATGCGTGCTTCCAGAGTGAGTCACTCCTTTTTCTTTCAAGCAATTTCTTGCATTGCTTGTCAGCAGAGGAGGACTCCTTTCTATCATCAGATTTTGTGCTGTCGGGGCAGAAACGTGCCCTCTCCTATTTCCCTGGCAGGCCCTGCGGGGAGTGGGTGCTGTGCTGTAGGGCCGGCTGGGTCAACAGCGCAGCCTTCTCTGGCAAGATGTGTCAGGTGTGCTTGGAGGGCTAAACGCAGTCATAAAAACATGGGTTTTGTCAAGTGAAATGAAATAATAGTGCAAGACTACATGCCATTTAACACTTCCCTTGCCACTTCTGTTGTAGGGTAAATATGTGGTGTGCTTTGATCCCCTTGATGGCTCATCCAATATAGACTGCTTGGCACCAATAGGAACAATATTTGCTATCTACAAAAAGGTAAGAGGATGAACAGAGCACGCATGGCACAACTCACTTGGTGAAAGCAAAACATCTTGTGTACATCAACTTGCTTAGTTTCTTTCCTAGGTCCTTTAAGTGTCTTTGGGATCAACAGAGCCTCTGAAAGAGCAGAAGAGGTAACACTTGGGATTCATGGTGCTAAAATGCTGCCTGAATTCCCCAGAAAGGGACACTCAGCCCCTTGAAACTGTTAGGCGGCAGCACTTCCCCTCCTCCAGACACACAGGCACTTAAATAAAACTCTCTCACCATCAGGCAGCTAGTTAGCGCCTTCAGTGATGCTTTACTTGCTGCAGGAGAGTTCAGGGGTGTCACGGTACCTATGAACCACAGTATTTGTCTTCCTGGATACTGACTGGGGAGGGCTGACGGTCACTGCCTGGACCGTATCACGGTTAGCAGTGTGGTGGCCTTCTGGTATGAGTTGCTACACCTGTTACGGATAGGGGGTTATAAACGTGCTAACAATGGAGGCCACCTGAGGCTGAAGGAAACAGTCACCTACAGCCACTGGGGCCTTGCCAGCATGTCTGCACCCATGGGGCTGCACAGAACAGCAACTGCACAGCCAATTAACAAACATTAATAGTTAGAGTCATGCCAAGTCTTGTGATTTGATTGCTAATCTCCTAGCAGTTGGTGTTTTTCCTAAAGCCTGAGCTCACAGTCATATGACTATGGGAGACCCTCAGCCATCACTATTATGAAGTAACATTTACAGGACTTGTGACTACACAGAAGTCTTTGCAGACTCAGATGCTAGACTTCAAACACATGAAGGTATGTTTTTAAAGTCCGCTTTCATCTTTTAATTCATAATTTTTAGCTGGCCAGTCCTTGGTTTTTACATTTCTGGTAGGCAAAACACTAATTATGGCTGTTGAGAATATGCATCTACTAGTAAACCAAATAGTTAGAGCACAATCTCAACAGGGACATGGCACAAGCCAAGTGCTGGCATATGGCTGTCCACACTGCTAATTGTTAGTGCAAAGCCCCGTCACAAATGCAGCCCAGGCCAGACAACCCTGAGATGATCATAGAATCATAGAATTGTTGAGGTTGGAAGGGACCTTGAAGATGATGCCTGGGTATGCCTTCTGGAAAGAGCAGCCCAGGGACTACCTACAGTACCATCTACCGTGTTGCTTTTTGTAGGGAAGAGAGCTTAGTTGTACGGATGCAATCCATGCCACATGCCCTGATGGTAGGCAAAGAGGTCCCCACTCTTTTCATTTATCTTGCTAAAGAAAGCCTAAAAGACCGCAGCACCTCCTGACATTTACAATACGAAATAACTGTGTTGTCCACCATTCTTAAAGGTGGTAAGCACCATCTTACAAATACTAAACATTTACTTTCTGTTTAGAAGTGTTGTGTTAGGTTACTTGGCATAACCATAAAGGTAAGTGCTCAGTGTGAGTAAGATAGCTTACCAGGTTGAAATACAGATTAGATTTCTCTACCATCTAAAGTTCACCTGTTAATGTGCGTAAAGACTATGGACTGCCCCGTCTCCCCTAGGGTTCTGCTTCAGTATTGAAATATTTCCCAAAGAACTAACGTTGTTCCCAAATGCTCAAGTGTTCAATTAATTTTCTGATCCTTCCATAATTGTTGTTGTTCTAATATATATTAACATATTTGTTGTAGATACTGTTTACAAGTTACTAGTTTTCATGTGGGTGAATATCCTCCAGGGCTTCATAAAGAGAAAACTGCATTTCTTTCTACAAATACTTCATATCCAAATGAAAACCCTGCTGCTAGGATGAAGCACATTTGTTGATTACAAGAGCAACTTATCACTCTTGCCTGGAAAGTTAGAAACAATGTTGAATTTACAGACTTTCACTTGCATAACTATTTCTATTAAAATGCCATTTCCAAAGTACATGTTAATTAAAGTGCCTTCCTCTCAGATAAGACAATTTTATAGCAACACTATTAACTTCAAACCCTTTGAAATAATGAAATAAGTGGTTTATTGATTGTTACTGAAGGGTAGTGCAAAAGGAATAAAAGTGAGATGTTTATCCCAGTGGATGAGAATCGCTTAAGAAAATTTGAAGCCATTTAAGGTTCATGAACATAATTTTGGAAAAGCTAGAACGATGGTAATTCCAAAGGATGATCCTTAGCACCTGTCTGATACTTGGTATCTTCCAACTCTCAGATGATTGCATGACTGGTTTTCTCAAAATGTCAGCACCGTCACTTCATTTCCAAAGGCACACCCTCCAGAACTGAAATATTTGCCTTTTTTTAGGGGGGAAAAAAAAAAAAAAAATCGTGGTTTTCTATAAAGGCCAGATTTGGCCAATGAATTTCAAACCTGAGGATGGTTCTCTGGCTGCTCCCAATCCAGAGCCACCACCATGGTGGTACCATTGCCTCCTGCCAAAAGAACACTGTATCTGCATCTTAAAGAAAACCATTGGGAAACAAATGCCATGTTAGGTTTATTTACTTTTGCACGTGGCTTTTACTTTTGGAAGCATGGGTGGTATTGTTAAACAGATCAGAAATGTCAGAAAAGTGGGGCTGAGGGAGGAGCCTTGCTGAATCAGCAGAAGCCAGAGTAATGGATAGGACCTTGACAGTCACTGTCACTGAGGGGCTCCCAGCTGCTGGAGTGTCAGGATGTCAGGATGACAGTAAGCATTTTTTGCTTTGATTCTTCCCTATTATTCATGCCACTGAGCTGAATCTACAGCACTCAGTTCATACTCCACATATACGCTATGAAACTCTGCTGGTTGGTTTCATTCTGGTTTTAATTTGTAATGTTGCCCAGTTCCTCAGGTATATTTTATTTCTCCTCCTTTCATTGTCACAAGGATAATGTTGTCCCCTTCCTGTGGTCCCTTACAGAGAAGGTGTAAGAATTCAGGGCAAATGCAAAGGATACTGATGAAACATGTGATACAAACAGAGACCTGGAAATCAAGTCCTTCCAGAGCTGCTCCCAGTGCTGATGAGAACTCCCTCACGTGATGTTGGCAAATCGTACACGCAAAAAATTGTCAAACTCAGATATCACCTGAGGGTACCCCTACAGCCAGACTCTGTGGACCTTGTTTCATTTGCTTCACACCAAGGAGCCAAAGTGACTGTGTCAGAGCTTGTCAGAACTTCTCTGCAGTCCCTCTGCCTGTTTCAGTGCTTTGCATAAAGACCTCTAAAGAGATTTCACTACCGCCATCTCGTAGTCAAAATATAATAGATAGGAAATCCATCTGTGCACCAGAAAGAAGTGAAAATATTCAGCTTAATTCCCTAGTTTGTTTCACAATACATGGTACTTGGCAGGACAAAACTCCTGCAGTTATAACAGTGAAATATCAGATGATCTCTAGCTTTTTTGCATTCTGACAAGCTCTGTGAAATGTTTGATACAGAGCTTTTTTCCCTTCTTTTTGGAAGCTGGCTCTTGGAAACACAGTTGTGAATCAGGATGGAAAAACAAGTGAATTCTGCCCAACTGTTCATCTCCCAAGGGAGGATTTTCTGTGTTTGTTCACAATAGTCAACAAATAAGTGGTTTCTCAGGCATACAAACATAGAAAATGCATTTAAGAGATATCTGAAAAGATCATCTCAAAAAAATATATTTTAAATCAATATCACATGTAACGGGCAGTTACTTATACTGTATATACACTGTGTTCTATAAAACGAACCTCTTTATTGTATGTATAAAAAATTAATTTTTATTTAAGGAGGAAAGCATACAAGAAGCTAGGAGAATCATAATATGTTTGCAACTAGTGGTGTAAATGTACATTTAATTCTGCATTTAATATTGCAAATAATTAGTTCACTATAGACAACCATTGCTTTTGATGTTGAGATGTATGTGCCTTGGGAGTATATTTTTCACAAAATCATAGAATGGTTTAGGTTGGAAGCGACATTAAAGATCATCGAGTTCCAACCCCCCTGCCATGGGCAGGGACACCTCCAACTAGACCAGGCTGCCCAAGGCCACATCCAGCCTGGCCTTGAACACCTCCTGGGATGGGGCCTCAACAACCTCTCTGGGCAACCTGTTCCAGTGCCTTACAACCCTCAAAGTGAAAAACTTCTTCCTAATGTTTAATCTAAACCTGCCCTCTTCGGTCTCGCTGGAGCCTTCTCTTCTCCAGGATGAACAACCCCAACTGCCTCAGCCTGTCTTCATAGGGGAGGTGCTCCACCCTTCAGATCATCTTTGTGGCCCTCCTCTGGACCTGCTCCAACAAGTCCATGTCCTTCTTATGTTGGGGGCCCCAGGGCTGGACGCAATATTGCAGGTGTGGTCTTACCAGAGCAGAACAAGGGGGCAGAATCACCTCCCTTGACCTGCTGGCCACTCTTCTGTTTCCACACTTTCCACAGAAGATCTTGGCAAAATAGTAGAAGTAGTAGTAGTAGTAGTAGTAGTAGTAGTAGTAGTAGTAATAGTAGTAGTAGTAGTAGTAGTAGTAGTAGTAAAAAAAGATAAAAATACCACTAAAAACTCAAAGCAAAAGTAACAAAAGTAGCAAAATCTTTCAGCTGACAATCAAAATATTTTGATGTGGAATTACTGTCTTCATATGCTATGAAAGATGTAGTTTCAGTGTCCCAAACCTAGTTCTCCTCTAGATGTTGTCATAAAATGACAAATGAGATCCCTAAGTTAGCCTTAGCTTTCCACCTTGCTAAGACCATTGCACCCTGAGACCTCCTTGCCATGGGGCACAGCAGAGAATTTCTCTGTTGCAGGAGAATTGTTTTCCTTTGGAAAATATCTGTGAAAGTAAGTCTTGATTTTTTAAAAAATTTACTCGATATTCATCAAATATTTTATTTCCTACACAAAACTGTCTCCACTGATTTTTACTTTTTAACCCGATATTTTGGGCTAGACCTGCTATTTCTATTTAGCTGCTACTCAGTCTAATTAAGACAATGCAATCACTGGGAAATTGTCTGAGTTTGGATCAATAAAATGCTAAACCAGGGCCTAAAGAAAAGATCTGAGTGGGTTCTCATTTTAATTCCTTGTAAACTGCCATCAAAAAAATCCACAGAAGATCCACCGCAACTGACAAGCTTTTAAAGTAGCGTTAACATCAGGCATTCCCTACCCACCTTGTAGTCCCAGGAGATGAAGGCTGGAGCCATCCTTCCCAGGTACTCTTGGCTGTTCTTTCTCACTCCACCAGTCAAACTCTTGTATGCCATGGCTGAGTCACACCCCAAGAGCTGGCTGGAAATACTTGCACCAGGTCTGCTCAGTCTACTGTGGTTCAGTGATAACCGAAGTGCCAAATCAAAATATGAGTGTTGGAAATTGATTAAAAGCCTGAAGTAAAGTGCCACGTGAATGTTCTATGTAGAGTTATATATGCGTACCTGCACACACACAATTACATATGCAAATGCATTTGTTATTTTATGTATAATAGGAACATTTGTATCACTTCAGTTACCCAACTCTCCACCAGCAGAGACCAATGCACAATCTTAGTTCCATCACGTTGCACCACCTACCCTTTATTCTGCATTACTGGAAGCAATTTGTCTGTAATGTCAGTTACTGCATTCACCACACAGTTATTCCTTCTGAGGGACATCAGTATGATAGCTTTTGTTTACATTTCCAGAAAATTAGTACCCCTGTTCTATCTCAGATTTCTGACAACCTTGAATTAATAGACTGGGCTGTAATGCTAAGGTATCAGCTTTGTTGCAGATATTGTATTGATTGCATAACGTATAAAATAACAAACTCTCAAGGTCCTGTCCCAGCGTGCACATGTACTTGTACCAAACTTGCCCTGAACTAGTGGGAACAACCTTTATTTTGGTTGTTTCAAAGGCCTGCATAGACACAAAAAGGAAATCTGCCCCACATTACTATTGAAGTGTCATTTTTATTCTTTCTCATAAGAATTTAACCTTCAGTCCAATGGTGATTTTTTCCTCAGGATACAGATGACGAGCCCTCTGAAAAAGATGCTCTGCAGCCTGGACGCAATATTGTTGCTGCCGGCTATGCCTTGTACGGCAGTGCTACACTGGTTGCCCTCTCCACGGGGCAAGGAGTGGACTGCTTCATGCTGGATCCGGTACAGTCATGGTGCTAATCACATTGCCACTGTCTTTTAGAGATTTCTGTGCTTGGGTTTACTAATTTTTCTTACTTCTTGTCCCTGTAATCTAGGCAATCTAGGCGATTTTTTTTTCACCTGTGTCCTGGAGCATCCCACCTCCAGTTTACAAGTATTTAATAATACATGCGTATGTTGGTTGCAATACGTCTGGTTTTAATAACCGGTGGAAGGGAGTTTAAGTTAAATAGGATTTGAAAACCTGTTCATTCAAACCAGACTGCTGGTTTGAGCACACACTTAAGAAAATATACTCTGAACTGTACCTTTACCTCCATTTAAAGGACTCCTGCTTTTTCATGTTCTTGTTTTTTTCTATCTGTAGAAGAACCTCAGCATGTTCAGTGTTTAGCCTAAGGCAAGGACCGTTTGCTGATATAGTTCATGCAAAGTGATGTTTGATTTTTTGAGTGCAATTTATTTTTAAGGCTAAGCCCTTTAAGATGTGTACCCAACAGTTTGCAAAAGCACAAGCATACAGATACAATCAGACATGTGCCACCCCTTGGTGCCCAGCTCAGGAGCCCAACAAGTATTACTGGAGGAATGCAGGAAGGAGATCACTCATTTGAGAAACCAGCATTAGATGTGGGCAATAACACAGGAATTCTTTTTGATAAAAGGACGCATTAATATCAAAACTCCTTTTAACTTTTATAAGCAGGTTCATTCCAAGTGGGAAGAACTGGGAGCTGAACTGCTCTGGTTAGAGGCACAGGAAGAGAACATGGAAGTTGCACTTAAACTGCAGACAGCAACACCCTGGGGGTAGCTGACCACATTCACTTTAAGATATTTAGACAAGACAGGCAAGAAAAGTTGAAAAATCAGAAGGCAGTGTAATTTCTGAATTTGTAAACTTATGATTTGTGGACAGAGATTCACAATCCATCTGCTTTCAGGGCTGACTGGTGTTCATTTGACATGCTAACTATTATAGTCAAATTGTTTTTTGTTTATACTAGCAATGTGACAAGTTTTCATGAACTTAACTCAGATTCTGTGCTTTCTGCTCTGTTTGAAATACTGTGAAGTTATACACAAGACTGGTGCTGAAAGGACCAAGCTGTGCTAGCGTTTCTGCCATCTCTAGTGTGACAACTGTTACAGAAAGTCAATAAAATGTTCTGCTGCTTGCTAATAGCTGGTCTATCCTGTTCTTCCATAGGGTCTCGGTGAATTTATTTTGGTGGACAGAGATGTTAAAATCAAGAAGAAAGGGAAGGTATACAGTCTCAATGAAGGTTATGCAAAGTATTTTGATCCTGCAATGACAGAATATTTACAAAAGAAGAAATTCCCTGAGGTAAGAAAATATTAGCACTGTAGCCAATGTACTGTGCACTGGCAAGCACTGCCTTCCATGCAGTCCTGGCTGATGGGAAATGATTTGAAGGCCTCGCTGAGTTCAGCCCCATGCAACCCTTTCATGCCATCAGGTCCATTTTGGATATGTATCTGATGTGGTGGTTTCTGATGCCCTGACATATTTTATAACTTAGACTTCAGAAAGTAAATTCATTGCTTGCTTGTCACTGTGTGGATGAAAATGTGCTGTACATGAAGAACCAGATTTTTCGACAAAGCTCTGAAACTGTGCCAGCAAAATGGGGGTGGGGGTTGTGTGTGTGGGTGCCCTTGTTTTCTAGCTTATCTGAATATGCAGCTCAGTCATATGTGCAGCTGGGCATTTGAGGCTAGATTCCAGGCCAGAAGGTGTTTGCATGGATCTGGGTGGCATCACCTCGTCCTTCCTGTACACACTTGCATCTGAGAAATGCAGTATCACTCTTGGACTGTCTATTTGCATCATATGGAGCACCAACCAAGACACAGGTTGAAAAAAAGAAAGGGTGTGAGGCAGAATTTCACTATATTCTGTTGTTAAGAGGCTTATACTGTGTCCCTCAGAGAGAAAAAGCTGAGAACATCCCATGTCTGATCAACTTCCTTGTGGGGACATACAGCTCTGTATAGCCTCCAGTCAATGCTAGGAGGACACAACACAAGCTCTCAGTGTGGAAAGCTGGAAGCTCTCTAGAAGGCGTAGCTATGTGACCAGAAATTCATAATGAAATATGGTGACATGTAACAGCTCAGGACTGAATTTGGCCAGGAAACTGGTTTTACTGCTCCTCCTGTTAACAAAAAAGCCATAGGATTATTTTTTAAGCTATTGTCGAGAATACTTATACAAGGCTCCTGTAAAAATCAATATATCCAGTAGAAAACTTGAGGGTGCTGTACAAGGGAAATGTAATGAGTAAGAGTTTAAACTATAATTCTGTGAGAAGCTCCTGAGCTGAAAATCTGAATTTACTACATTGGATACAACCGTCATGCAGACCTCTTATGAAAATCTCTTTTCCGTACTACCCTGATTGTCATTACAGAGGGTATCACATCCCAGCATTTTAAATATATTAATTTTGAATATTTGAGGTAGTTTTGAAACTTCAAAGTTGGCTTTCAATACAGCTGTGAAAGAAGCAGAAGCCCATGACACAACTTTCATACTTCCTGAAAATTAATCCAGCTGGGGAAAAGGAGATCTGTGCTTCTTGTTCTGCTCATGTTATGCTGAGCTATGTATTCGGTATAAAGCACTAACACTGGATTTGTTAATTTATGTTTTTGCAAACCACCCTAGTGTTTTTTATAGTAAAACTCTTAAACAAATAATCAACCCCAGGCAACTATAAAAATCTTCTGAAGAGATTTCAAACTCAGTAGAAAGACCAGACTGAGATATTTCACCACAGGCTCAATGAGGACAGCTCTGTCATGTGATTCACTAAATCCTTAGGTGAGGACATACAGGAAAAACCTCATTTGCAAACACCATGTTATCTCAAATCTGTGCTTCATTTCAGGAAATCCTATTGAAAGTGTTGTTGCACTAATGCAACGCAAGTTGGCAGAAGGTGTTTTTGTTACTAAAGTAAGCAGCACAGTAGTGCATATGTTATCTGGAGTGGTGGAAGTCTCCTCAAGGGTGCTGAGCAAGCACATCACTTTGCTGTTTTGAGACATAGGGTTGCCCATGTGAGAAGGGCCAAGGCACTAATGTTAGGCACTCACTCATAGCACAAGGAAGTGCCCTGCCCATCTGAAAGCTTGTTATGAACCTGAGTTTTGGAAAACAGCATAACTCAATTCCTTGAGTTGAAAAGTGCATTATATTTTGATTGTGTCAGGTCAAGAGAGAGAAGGTGTTGCCACTCTTCCATAGCATGAAACCTGCTTCCTGGCATCCTCTGTAAGCCTTACCAGTTACAGATACGTTGGTGCTGCCTCTGCCTTCCCTGCAGTGTGCAGGTGGCGCATTGCACAGCTTTGGGGTGTGTCTTCCTCACTTCAGCACACAGAAGAGCATCTGAGGGATGCCCCCTGCCCGTGACTTGAGGAGGAACTGACATATGAGGCATGGCGGATCCCTTCATACGCAGGCAGACAACTCTCACCCTACGGACTTCTGGCCACTGGAAGCCAAAAGACTAGGCATTAATTTTAGCAACTTGTCACTTTCTTCTCTTTTTTTTCCTTTTATCCTACCTCTGCTTCCTCCTTCCTGTGGTTCTTGGTCAACATGCTGTTCAGATAACTCTCTAACATTGCCACAGAAAACTGAAAAGTTAAAAATAAAATAAAACAAGCAAAGCAGAATGTTTTCCACAACATGTCCTGTGTTCGGTATCACTGTCATTGGCAGTCAAACATTACAAATCAACCCTTTATGTGGAGAGGAGAGATTTTCTCTTACTATCTAACAACAGCATCCCAGATCAGACAGTTTGGACTACAAAGCCATGTTGGCCTTCAAGGTTTCTTGTGGACCACTGTTCACCTAAGGCATCAATTCTGAATTAAAAGCAATGGAAAAATGCTGCTGTTCTGCAGGTCAGCTGTAAATCTCCTACCATTGTCATGTGGCGCTTAGTGGGAAATATTTGTCTAGATACATCTCTTCTGGAACGAGAGTCCAGAGTAAAGCTAATTTTTTTGTTAAGCATCACAAAATCTCCTGCTGCTTAACCAGCTTGAAAAACAAGGTGCTATTTGCAAGAGTGCCTGTACTGCAACACGTTTACTCCAGTCTGCACTGGATAATGGGCACTGCTGAGCTAGGAACTTTCTGCACAAATTTAACTCTTTGCCAAAGTGGGTTATTCCTCCAATAATGTTTGCAAGGCCCTAACCTCCTGCTGGCACTGGTTCACTGATGGTAGAATTCAGAAACATGGTGTAGGCATCGTCATACTTTGCTGTTCCACCCATTTTTATCTTCACTTCCTATGGCCACAAGAGAAGTTGAGTCTTGTCAAAGCTGATCTAGAGCCATGCGACGGAGACTCCCTGGTTAAGGATTTGTCTTAGCAATGCCATCAAAAACTTATCATCAACAGCACATTTCAGCATGAAGCATTCTTCTGCCAGCCAGCCCAGCTGTGCCCGAGTGACATAAAAAAGCTAACAAAACCCCTGTTCTTTTGTTACCATAACTGTATGTGGAGCAAGAGATGCAGGGTGTTGTTGCTTTAGTCTGTAGAAAAGAGTTTTTTCCCCCCACTCTCCTGGTCATCACAGTTATGCAAGAAAAACATGGTCTTGTTCTGCTGTGGAGAAAAATATCTGTCAGAAATCAGTAGAACAGAGAAGTGAGAAAGTGAATCCCATCACATCGTGAAGAAAAAAATCACAGGACCTATCTGTTATGAGCCATTTTTGTTCCTCTGGGTTAAGCAAAAAAAACTACAGGAAACTAAAAGCAATCACAAGTTTACTCAAACACCGTGGACGCTGACCAGGGAACAACAAGGTTCTCCAACTCTTTCATTAGCATCAGCTGAACCAGTGTGAAGCGCTCACTGGGCAAACACACAGCTTGGCATTACTCAAAACTTGGGATGAATTTCCCTAGCATTCATGCTCTCCTATTTTGTTTGAGAAGAAAGACTGGGCGATATGCCAACATGCATGCAACACCTATTAACTTTCTCATCTGTAAGAAAAATGCATGAGAAACCAACTAGAGAAAAAAGAAGTAACATTTCTAGTAACTAAAAGGACTATTTATTCCTCCCAAGCAGATAGCTGCTAAGGGAAGTGAAAATTTTATTACAGTCTGTGGTTCAAGTGATAACTGTACCAAAATAGAGGAATTTCTTTTCTGTATTTTTCTCAGCTCAGTCTCAGCACTGTGTTTCTAGCAGATGAATTTCTATCAGGGTAAGAAGCGACTAAAATTGTCAGTGACACCTCATCAGCTTCACATAACACTGCTCATGTATGCATAAATTGTCTAAATGGCCTGCACACAAATAGGAAATCCAGCACATCCCAGACGTATCTAATGACTTGTACACAGGTGGCTCAGCTGTGCAGCTTGTATTTGGTAAATTTTATACATGTGGGTTGCAGACTCCTTATTTGATAATGACTTAGAGGCAGTCCTTAGCAGTCTATTTCAGGGCCTGCTTATTATCAATTTGCTATGACTTTTCTTAATGTTTAACAAACTTAAAAGACTTGCCTCATCACCTTCTGAAACCATATAAGAGAGCTCTTCCTTTGATCATATTTTTAAAAGTAATTTCAGACTGTAATCTTTC